CTGACCAATTTGAAATCTGGCCTGAATTCATCAAGGTTCTTACTTGATCAGGAGAGGACAAGTTTGCTGTATTGATTGCTTTCAGTTGATTGAATGCTCTTTATACAGTGTTACTAGTGTATATAAGCTTGCAAGTCTAGCAGCTTTCCCCTAGATGGAACTTTCCTTTCAGAACCAAAAATGTACTTTGGAAAGTTAGACATGTGAGATTTGATGAAACATTTACATCTCTCATCCAGGCCTTAAAAGTATTTTACAGGTTTAACAATGATTGTAAATAAAATAATCATAAATAAAAGTTGTAGCCATCAATAACTTCACATGGCAGTGTCAAGGGTACCTTGGGTAGTGATGAGGGACTCTTCCTGGAGCTCTGCTGTGGTGAGGAGGGTGAGGAGAGGCCTAAGCAGCAGGACACGAGCCCAGCCGGGCCGTACCTGGGAGCTGCTCCTGATGTCTTTTCCACAGATGTCCAGCTTTGTCAAAAACCAGTAAATCTTGTGAAGTTTATTTTCCTTGTAGCATCTGTGTTTTATAATGGTGCTTTTAATTTGTTTTTTCTCTGTCTGCTGGGATTTCTTTTGTCCGGCACTTTCAGGCCTCCCTTTTTTTCTGGGTGGAAGTGAGTCCATTAATAATGGCTGGCTTGGGAATACACCCCGGCCAGGCCAGCACGGCAGCCGCTCCCCCCATCTGACAACAAAGCCCATTGTTGTTTTCTTTCTTCACTTCTATGCTCAATCCATTTTTCCTTTTGAGTATTTGTGGAATAAAATGTCTGGAAAAATGTGGCTCAGGTTTTGGGTTGATGACTTGAGAAGTGATGGCGGTTTTGTTGTAGATGTTCAGAAAACAGGTAGGAAGGCGAACTAATGGATGATATTTTCTGTGTCTCAGGAGGCAATATTTATCCAGTGTAATGCTACACTTGTAAATAAACTTCTCCTGTCAAACTACCAGAGCCACAACGTCCTTGGGTTGTTTTTTTGGGTTTTTTTTGTGAGTACCTTAGTAAATTGATTATAGATTAAGGCACTTATTTTCTTTCAGTTTTCTTCAATGGAAGGCTAAAAGGCTGAATTAGGATTAACTGTGGGAATTTTTTTGTCTTGGGTTTTGCTATGATCAGGAATTTGGACATTGAGTCTGTAATATTTGAGTGGTGATAATGGAAGTGCTTCCTTTCATCTGTGTCCTGAGCTGTGGCCCAAGTTGGAGAGGGAGTGCAGGCAAATGAGAGGATGTGTAGAGGGAAAATAAACCCAAACCTAAACTGGCTTTAACATATTCTGTGCACAGCTCTTGAACTGTAATCTGAAATTCCAGGGCAGCCTGTGGAAAGACAGATACTTGACCAAAGGATTTGCCTTGCACGTCCTCCTTAGGGCTGTTAAACTCATGCTCTGGACAATTACCAAGGGAAAGTGCCTCATTGCTCAGGATGCTCTGCTGGAAATGTTCAGACTGATCCTTGAGAGGGCATATTTGGTGTGGAATTGTGATGATGGTGATTAATTTTCTCTAAAGTACTTACAATTGTAGGTATTCTTTGAATAGACAATAGGATGTATAGCTGTCAGTATACAACCAAGCTAGCATTTAAAATTAAATTGTCAGTGCTAAGGGAGTTACACCATTTGAAGATATTCTATGGCTTTTTTATTTATTTTTGTATGTATTTCCTTGTAAGAATGAATATATACAGTCCATATGTGGCAAGATAATTTGAGTACAGGCTCCTGCTGTATGATAATGTTTGATATTTCTAGTGGACCTAAACTTTGGCTTATTTGTTGCTTGTCCTTTGACAGTGAATCAACAACTGCTTGAGCTGTAGAAACAATGTTGATGCTTGACTGCATTCTTTGTGTTCCTTTGGCCTGATACAGCAGTCCTGTGCACACACAACTCCTGTTTACTGCAGGGGGAGTTTCCCACTTCCAAGGACTGGAGGAATGGAGAGTGACTTTATCCAATTTCTGGAGGGGTACGATGGCTCACCCTGAAACTGTGGGGTTTAAAAGGGCTTATTAAACATAATGTGTGACACTGTTTTGTTCCAGTGAAATTCAGAATGCACAATACAGCTTTTGCTGAATGCTTAGAAAAGGAACAGCCCAAGTTATAGAGTCCATTTACTGCATCCCTAAGGCTATGCAGTTAAGAACAAGCATGTACCTCTCTGATAGGTCTGAGGCAACATACAATGAAGATATAACAGTATAGAACATTTCCATCATAAAAACAGCTAAAAATAATTCAGTTAAACTGAAAGCAAATTTTTTTTCCTTTTTCTTTGAAGCACGATTTTCTTTAGCCATACTTATCCATACCATCTTAATATTATTGTAGTCAGATTTTCAAGAAAAACTTCACTGTCAGAAGCAGTTTGTCTTCTTTTTGTTGCATTCCAACTTTTAATTTTTGGTTTGTATCAACTTTAATGACATTTATTTGCAGTTACGCAGCTGAATGTTACTGCAGAAAATACAGATTGGCAGGCAATAGTTACTGGGATATACATGAGGTATTTACAGCTTTTCCATTTGTCATGACTGAATTTTTTTATCATGTTTGTGGGGTGAAGTGCTGTGTGTTATGAGCTCTGGTTTAGTTAATTTTTTATTGACTTTTGTTTACATGAGATTCATTTGAAATGAAATGCTTGACTTCTGAATGTGATTTTCAAAGCATTCTCTTAGATTTTGGTCCCATTCAGCCTCTCTTGTACACATTTTCAGTTCTCTCTGTATAGTTTAGTAATTTTTTTTGGTTGGTTTACTTTGTGTTTTCTTATATGTGAGGATAAAAATGTATAGGATGGTGTTGCTACAATTAATAAAAAAACTCCTTAGTGATGACTTAATTCTGCAGTTTTCTAGGTATCCTTAGCTGCCTTGGGATTCCTCAGCTTGTGTGAAAACAAAGCAGCTCATCCTTGTGTAGGAAGGACAACTGTAAACTCCTCAGTTCTCTGCATGTAAATGTTCTGTTGAATCCATGGAAGGTTTTGCATATGGAAAACGACATGATGTTGGGAGCGGAGGGCACTGAGCAATTAATTGTGCCTTGAGAGGGAGAGAGGACTGTTACAACACAGTCATTTGGTTCAGTAGTTCAGAGTTAATCATTATATTCCTAACAAGTAAAAGAAAACAAATTGCAGACATTGGGAGCCCCCTCTGTGGACACTGTTGCTGGTAGCAGAGTCGCTCATGGTGAATGTAAGAGAGTGAAACACTTTCAGAGGGGGCCGTGATTATATGCAACAGTAACTAATTAAACAATAATGCAGAAAACTATTTGTACTCCTTTCTGCAAGAACCAAGAATGCATTATGAAACTAATCTTTAAAAAAAAATAAAAATTAATTGCATCTCAGTCGTACTTTAAAACCGAACTGGTTGGGTTTTTTTCCCCCTTTCCTGTTTCTTTTTATTCCAAGTTGGTGCAGGAAAATTGCTATTAATGAAATCTGCTCTCTGAGACTTCAATAGGCTTGTTATTCATTAAAGCCTTGCTATTTAAAAGTTCAGGCTAGATACTTAACACAAAATACACTTTGTTAATTTCATCATTTTTTGTTATTGTGCTTTTCTAAGATGCAGAGGTCTACGGACTTTTGTAGAAAAAACAAATAAAACCCCTAAGCTTACAGTTGCCTAGTATTAAAAGAAGGGTAAAGGAAGCATTGAGTGTCTTTAGGATGATGAGACATTCATTAAGATTTTTCCGCCTTCCTTTTCCTATTTTCAATCCATCTGAAGTACCATTAAAGCTTTTCAGGCAGCTTCCTGTGAGAAACCCTTTTCTGTGCTGTTTTTCTTCCATGAAAGAAGGTGGCTGCTCTTCAGTCAGATTGTATGGATTTGGCCTGGGATTTGTATAATATCTATGGGGAATGCATCGGTTGTTTAGGAACCTAATTCCCAATATGGCTCCCTTTTGATTAAGAACAAAGCCAGCGTTTCACAGCATTATAGGAACACAGAAAAACAAGTTAATGATCTAAACCTTTTAATTCATGGTTGCTTGTCTATTTAAAGTACTTTTGATTCTGTTATAAACAGACTGGCCCCTTTTTTTGTTTAACTTCTTTCTTTGGTTTCTTCACATTTCTTTCTTTACTGTCCATGAAATTTGTAGCTAGTTTCCTTTTCTAACTGAAGAATGAAAGGTTGTGACTACAGAATGATACAGAAAGTAAGAAAGCGTATCTAGACTGGGCGTGTATCCAGCACAGACCTCTTTGAATCAAGCTAAAATTAGGGTTGTTGCATTTTTTTTTGGTTATGATTTCCCCTTCCTTTTTGAAGTACCTACAGGATTTTTTTTCTTTTTTTTATGAATGAATATAAAGCTTGTTAATTTTTTGATACTTGCTTGATTTTTGCATGTCATTTAGCAAGCCTTTATTTATTTATTATTTATATAACTACTTGTTATTTTCCTCTGGTCTGAGTTCTGCCTTTAGCCACAGAGACAATAAAAGCAACCTTTTCAGGACTTTCAATTGCTGACACTGTATGTGGCACTTTAGGAAAATAATTCCCTTCTAGATATTCTTTCTTTTTCTTTTCTTTCTTTTTTTTTTCTTTCTTTTTTTTTTTTTTTTTTAGTAGTGGATTGGAATCCAGAGCTTGTTCTTCAAGTTGAACTTGAAAACTTTTTGTTGATAAAACTGTCGGGCAAGCAGCAGCAGCAATAATTTTCCTTCCATGGAAGGGGACTTATATAAAAAATTCTGTGTCCATTGAAATTTATTTTTACTTGAAATGAAGACGACTTTTTAAGATTATGTTTTGCTTATGGTAGGACCTTGTTATTTTTTTTTTTTTTCCCTTTATTTTGGCAATGGTTTATTTCAGGCAGAAAGAAAAAAAATTCCAGTAATGTGTTTTATTACATCTCTATCCTGTCAAGGTAAATTGAACAGCCAAGACACCTACAATAACTTCACAAACAATAATCCTGGAAACCCTCGACTCCTGCCTCTTCCGAGTTTGACTGTGGTGTTGCCTCTTGCTCAAATCAAACAGCCCATGACATTAGGGACCATCACCAAACGCACAGGGTAAGTGTATCTGCACCAACCTTTCCTAACATTGTTATTTATAATTAATATGGAAATAATTTGTGTTACTAGGAATACTTAGTTTTATTCCTTGTTTTAAATTCAGTGTATGTGATTTAATGGCAGCAGAAAGGGGGTGGGGGAAAGAGGGAGACAAGAAAAGGAAACCAGTATCAGATGAGTAAGCAAAACCTGAAAACAAAATTCTAAAAATAAAGGAGTATTCATTAGAGTAGGTCATTTTCTTGCAGTCTGCCATATGGGTGATACTGTGCACTGGCATCAGAAGTGTCCCACCAGGAATTGGTATGAAATACTAAGCAGAGCTGTATTCAGTTGGAATAAGTTATAGTTATAGTTTTTTCTTTTTATAAAGAAAAAAAGTAGTTTATTTTGGTTTCCAAACTTTTTCAGC